GGAAGGCGCAAGCCGCAGCCTGCGGCGGACAGCAGCATGTCTTCTCGTACAGTTATTAAAACCTACCAGCAGCTGGAAGGCTTCCAGCGTGAAGGAGCGTATTACAGGCACTGGAGAACGTCACCCTGTAAATACCAGTTTCTGCTACGCGGGCTACTGATCTTAAATGTACACGTTGTTTTTACAAGGCTGGTTCGGGCCCTTACTCCTCTTTTAAACACATACGTGTAAAGTTCTTAAAGTGTGCAAGGCATTGCTTAGCTGCCTAAACCAAACTAAACCCCAAACCCACATAATTCATTGTTTAAAGGATTTAAAAAAGCAGACAAGTACTAACCTCCTCCTCAACATATTACATCTAAGTGACTGCTCTGCGACAATGCCCATGATCAGTGCAAGATGCAATGGCATACTAAAATTGACATGGCTGATGAACCTAGTTGGCTCCTGTTGTGGAAGATTCTTCTGTTGGAAGTTACCACGTGGGTTACCTGTATGTTCACCATAAATACGTAAGTGGAGAATGAATTCCATTAGCGATACCATTCAAATTTCTCCTGATGGGACACTGTCCCTGTCCCCCCACCTGCCCAAGTGTACCCTGCCATCAAAAATGTTAATATTTAGGAGTATGTCTCACACCCATGCCCTTAACTCACACCAAGCCCCTGCCTTTGTCCATTTTACAACCAGTGTTGCTCGCGTTTGTGTGCCTGCAGTAATATATTAAGGAAAATGAGTCCGTTACACTGGTATCATCCAAAAAGTCTGTATTTTCCAAGAGAACTTTTACCAGTAACATCATCATGACAGACCACTCCATAAAAACTACCCAAACAAGTGACATCTTTATTGGCAAGTTCTGCTAATGAATGTCCTTTTCCACGCTCATATCTTCTAACAGATTTGATTTTAAGAAACAAAACAAAAATCTCAGGTAACATTCCATTTGCAAACAATAAAATTATTTAACATTTAAAATTAAAACAAAGGATAGCAATTTTAAATACAAATTCTAGGAAACTCGTCCTGGTTTCCCCAGGAGCCATTCCTCACTGGGCTGCCACCACCACAGCTCCACTCTGAATCAGCGGGCTGGGTACCGAGGCTCTCCCGTTTGGAGCTCAATTAAAAGGACCGGGGCATGTGCTATTATTACCGTTCAAAGCCCTGTTGCGGTACATTCTTCTCAGGAAAACATAGAACAGTTTGCAATAAACCAACCAGTACTTTTTCATTCCCTTCTTATTCTAAAGCTAAGTCATACTGAAAGTTAGGGGGGGAAAAAAATGTGACTTCAACATTCAGCTACTTTATCACACACAAAGATTTCTACTAAGAGCATATCCAGGTTGAAATACACATCTGATTTCTGTCACGAGGTTAATGCTTATGGGGTGCAAGATGCAATCTACTTCAAAATAATAAACACACCACTTCTTGATGAGCAAAGTATTATTTTTAGCCTTTTGGACCAACACTTAGTTGCTAGGTTGTTTCTCTTGAACCTTGCGAGGAGAGACAGTCTTCACCACTACCACAAATAAAAAGATGACTGGTGGCAATCATACACCTTATCATCAGTTTGATGTTGTATTTAGCACATTTGTTTGCATTCTAAAAAACCCTTACTTTTTAGGCCCCAGAGGCTTTGTACACCAGAAATTACACAAGTCAACCACAGAAAATTGTAAATTGGTATCCACAGCAATTTTGAGGTATTCCACAAGAAACCTGGCTCTGCACCTGAATGTTCCTCTCAAAAACAACAAAAGAGAAAAAGAACCCAAAGCCCTAACTGGAGTGGAAATTTCATTTAAAAGATTCCTTTAATCCTCATGTTCCACCACATTTGATCAACAAGGACATACTTATTTCCCCAGGGACACAAAAAAAGCCTTCTTCATCCTTTTCCTGGAATATTAATTTCAGTACTTCATTCCTAAATTTCCAGGTGCACTCAGAAGAGATGAAGAGAAAGGTGTTTCTTTCTAGCCAAACCAGAGAAACACATTCAGACACTGGTTTTGGTTTATTTAATTTGTGAAGGTGCTCTAAGAAGATACCGGCCATCCCCTTAACATTGAAAATAGCAGCGGTTTATACTCTAACCTCCAGCCTGCGATGAAGAGGCTGGGGAAAGATCTGGACCAGAGAGTCTGAAGACCAAGTTAAGAAGAAATGGCCTCTCGCGGGTCTGGATTTGGCTTGATAGAACCGTAACTACTGAGGCAGTCAGTATCAACAGAAGGTTGCTCCTGTTGAACAGGAGATGGTGCTTCATAGTGTGAGCAGGTTCCTAAGGGACTGGTCGCCTGCCTTACTCGCAAGCTTTTCTGTTAGGGCTGAAGGGGGAAGGACACCTTTATTCTTCAGGTAACTGCTGTTCTCCTTTGAGTAGTACATTCAGAATAATTTCCAATAAACCAGAGCTGCAGTGCTAGTTGTGTATAATAAACTGCCTGCAACATTTCAATTGGTTATTGTTCATGAGAAATGGAAAACCGTTACAATGACCTTAGAAGGAAATAATTCGCTACTTCTGTATTTGTAGAAAAACCATAGGCAGTAATATTTTCTAAAGTGCTTCTTTACTTATCAGTTATTTTTTTAAAAATTAGACCTGTATTTTGTAGCGGCATAGTTCCCTAGTAGTTCATGGACCAGTAGATAGCTTTTGATGTAAAAAAACCATTACATATTTTGTTTAAGCAAGTGATAACTTGCTTTGACAAATGCACTGAAGTGAGTGATCTAAGTGCAAAACCCACCATTTCTTAAAACACGGCCTTATGCTGGTTTATTAATGCAACTTTACATCCTTTAAAAGTAGTTTACTTCAATTCCAAGAGCAGGGATTAAATAATACAAATAAAAGTTGAAAATTCAATGAAGCTATTGCCTATTTACCCCGAAATAAAATAGTCTTATGATTCAACTGGTGCAAAAATCCCTCCAAACACCTTTGTTTTATTGGCAAAGTCATTTAAGGTCACTTTTGCTTCCAAGACCATCTTCTTCCATGGTTTCCACTGAAGGAGTTTTGCTTTGTAATGGCTTGTGGTTCCACAGTGATTTGTAAATGAAAAACCTACTATGATTAACTCTACTGTAGTCACTAAATTACAGATACTGTCATGAGAAAGTCCAAAACTTACAGTGTTTCTTTTAAAATTTTCAGCAAGACACAAAATTCCAGTCCAGTTTAAAGTGTTTTCTTTGAATGCCATTTTAAATGGCAATAAATGGCTGCTGTGCCTTCTGGATGCAGAACTTAACGCAATGCCCTATGTGCTTCTTATACGGTAGACGGATCTTGTACTTTAAATGTACCCGAAGAAGGGCCCCCACAGGCACAGCCATTTGGATCAGCTACTCCTATGTATATAGTGCAGTAGGTTTGAATCTGCTTAGGGAGAACCACAACTGGGTGGCACGTAGCGAATGTTGGGGTTGTCTGTTCTCAGACGGCATGACACAAAGCATCCCAGACAGCAAGAGACAGAAGCATCTGCAACGTTGTTCTGATTCTGTCAAGTAGCAGTAGTTTCCATCGAAAGGTGGTGGTTATTGCTGAGACAGTAATGCACTCCGGTTGGCTTTCATCTTCTCCAAGCGTTTTACTAGATGACCATTGCTGACTTCAAGCTCTTCAGTTTTATCCAATGCTGAACGAAGCTGAAGGAAGGAAGCAGAAAAATACCCCATAACTTTCACAGTGTTTTCCCTTTCCAAAGATAAAGCAAGGTTTGTAGTTACCAACACTAACTGACCATATTGCTGGAATTTCCTTACAAGACAAAGCAGTTGAAAATTCCTGTTAGCGGAGTTAGAAGTAAATGTTGTTTAGCTGCTTTGAAGGTGACACACAGATATTTTCTAAGCAGAGTGCCAAGAATCCAAGGCATTTACAGGATGTTGAACAAACAGCTCAGACTTTGCCTCAACTTCGGAGGCACAGATGCTCAGAGACACCTGCTGGGTGACATACACCTGTCTCACTGCCTGGCTTTCATGTTTCTGGTTCGCAGAACTACAGCCACAGCCATGACTTCGGTGCCTCAGTTTTCTATGAAGTCCACCACAGGATGGGGGTTAGGGAGAGAGAGGTGGACTGCCCAGAGCAGTATTTATAGGCAGCAGAGCAGAAGGACTATTTAGAAAAAGCAAAGAGCCACACTGAACAAAAGTCAGGAGGCAGGTGTGAAAGAAGCTGACAAACGTATTTAAGCTGGTTGTAGCAGCTACTTGGAGAGAACATGAAGTTTCATAAGGCAAATATGGTCAAAATTACAGACAGCTTGAAGATGCAGTGTTTTAAGGGAGAGAAATATGACAGAGTCTGCAGATGGACACACTACAGCAAATGAATAGATTGCCAGAGCAAGAAAAACAGGCTCTGTAAGAACGATTCATATCCATTTAGCACTCAAGTTTAGACCCTGAAACTTGAAAGTTTAGACTCTCATTCCTGGTAAGGTGTGGCACTGTGCTTAAATAACTAACTGGCCAAATTAACCTTACAGCAGGATTTCCAGCTTTCTACTGCTGTAATTTCTGAATCACATGTTCTAAAAAGAGCAGTGATTTGTATTTACAAACTCCAAATTTGTAACACCCCAAGTAATGAGTCTTCAGGTACAACAAAGGACAAGGACAGCAAAGTAGAAATAGGAATTCTTCAGCTTGATGAATGTCAAACGTGAACATTCACAGCTGCAAAGTAGCATGCAAACCTGAGCATTTGAAGGCTGCTTCTAGACTCAAGCTGTACAAGTAGAACTTGAGTTTGCTGCAGAGAACTGACTCTGGTACAAAGCAAGGTATTGCAAGTCAGTTTAGGAAGGAATGGTGAAAAGGCAGTAGGAGTTCACACTTGTGACTGTTATTCCAGTTTGAGTGCTGAAAGTTTGGTTAAACATTTAGAACGAATAACTGCAGCAATAAAAAAAGCAGATGTCTATTCTTTGCTCTACTGAGAAGGGTAGTTCCTCCTCTAAAATGCAACAGACATGTCTCCCCCCATGCAGTGCAGGCTGATTGCTAGCCTATGACAGTTTGCATTTAGAGTTACCTCTCTCTGTAGTTTGCGTTTCTCTGCTTTCAATTCATCTTCTACTCTTTCAGCATTTTCAGCAGCAGTTTTGTATCGGGCTACCTGACCTTCCAATCGTATTACCTAAGGTGAAGGCAAAATTTCTGAATTAAAAGATGTACCAAGAAGTTACTCTGAAGCTTCACTCTTCCACTAGCAGTTAAGCAATAAGCAGAGAGATGCTCACTTTTCTTTAATAAAATAAAGGCATATTTTAAGAAAAAAAATACCAAGGAAGCCTGGCCATGGTAACTTACTCCAGACCTTTTATACATATCCATATCTAATATGCTTCCAGCAACAAAAAGTACAGTCCATTGACTAAATTTGTCTTAGCAAGAGTATCGCTGACATGCTCTGGACAAGAATAAACAGTTAAAACTGAACAGTCTTGTATAAAATCCATATATACTACATCATATGCCAGGAGCCATTTAAAAATTGTCGATAGCTAGGCATAAGAAAGTATTCTGAAGAGTTCAGTAAGCGCTCTCAGTATACCTTTGTCTTTGAACGTTTTTCCTTCAGTGAAGATGAGTAATACAGTCACTCTTCCCTATACATAAATGAAAGCATTTTAGTTTTTATGACTTAAGTACAGTAGTCCTGATACTCCAACACTCCTCTTTCTTACTTTAAGGGAAAATCACAGTACTCATTATTTCCTTTATTGTATAATAAAATACAGTATCTCTCTGCATTCTCACCATGCCTAAACAAACAGAACAAGCCAGAAACTTACATTCTGCTCCAATGCTGTTATCTCTTGCTCAGACTTTGCTAGCTTAAATTTGAGATCACTGATCTGTCTGTTGGCATCTCCTAAAAGAATTGCAGATATATCAGAGATGTCAGAACAAGTGTCAACAGTGTCTTCTAACAAGTCTGTCATAAAATTTCCACGCTACTTGGGGCAGCAGTAGAGCAGCAAACGCTGTCTGCCAAAAAAAGTTTCCTTCTACATCAGAGCTGGCAGCTAGCTAGCTAGCCCCAATCAGTGCCCAGCACATAGGAGCCATTCCCAGCCCTGCCCGATTCCCTCTTGACCACTCTGAAAGCAGAATTAACCAGGAACTCAAGCCAAGCTCTCCTGGGGAACATAAGGGAGACTTCCAATGGCAGTCTTGTTCAAACAAAGGAGAATTGTTCCCTCACCTCTAGTAGAGGTGCATGGCTGATTCCCAGTTTGAAGCTCCCTTAGAAATGAAGGGAGCATTTTTATTTAGAGCCATACGGTTATTGTACAGATACATTTTCTCACTCACATGCAGGACACAAAAGTTCTCTTAAAATCAAAATGTAGCTCACTTTGGAGGTCAATTATGTGCATATCTGTCCCATTTTCTAGAACTTCATCTTCTGATTGTGCATTTTCCATCTTGCCATTCTTTTGCTTTTCTTCCAGTTGTCCCTTTAATTTTTTAACCTGAAGCACACAAAAGAATTAGTTATTAAAATCAGTAAGGGAAAATTGTGGCTCAGTACTCAAATTCACTCAAGTATTATAAAAGAAATTCTATTTTTTTAAACCTAAATTCCAAAAAATCTCGTTACAAAATAATTTCTTAGAAATTCTTTTGGCAAATGACTCAGTATTTTAAGTAATCGTGCTTATGCATAAATTCAGGACCAAACATAACGAGTCGAAGATGACTGTTTTATTAAAAAAGCCATAGATGTTCTGTAGGCACATTCACATAAAACATTCTTAAAAAAACAAAACTGTGTTTGGTTGTGTGTGAAGTCTCAAGGCCAAGGATATAATCCATAAATAAAAGCACAGAGCATCCTGCAGAGAAACAGATCAGCTAAATTTTTTTGAATAAGCTTTATATCTGCTATGGATTATCATGGTACCAGCAATAGTTACTTTAATTACTATTTACCCACCTACTGTAATTCCTCCAGCATTTCCTTCTAAATGGCCCATTGCCCACAGACCCAGCAATCAGGAAGGCTTACTCTTGGAGATAAAATTTGCTTCTGCCATTTGTGGGCCATATTTTTTTTTTCCCTTGGGCTTGACCAATCTGAAGTATTATTTTTCAGAAACAGTCATGGATGAGTTTTAAGTGACTAAGGACAGCAATCTGCAATACTCTGAGCACCGAATGTGACTGGTTAGCAACATAGAACAGGCACACTGGGTCATATCTTTCTTCCCCTGTATCCTGAGTTAACACGCAGGAGAAATGTTTCAGAGGAAGAATAAAGCGGCAAGCAACGCCGTTAAGTTCTCAGCAAAAGCAACCCAGCACACGTTCTGAGGCACTGGCAATGGCACTGATGTTCTACACCTTATGTTAGGACTATTTCGATTTTTTTTAATCTCTACTGTTCTTATCACAGTTAGTAAACACACAGCATTTCAGTTTTCCTGTGATTACCTGGTCTAGTAAGGATTCTCGTTCATCAATGAGTTTTTTCAGCCTGTCTGAAAGAGAAAACTGAAAGTTCAGTGCTGATTTGATCGAGCCGCACATTTCAGAGTGCATCTGATATAAGACTGAACCATTAAGGTTAGTGAAACTAATGATGAAGGTAGTTATGCACGTACCACAGGAAATGAGGCCACAGACAGGGCTGGGAAGGGGCTGCAGCCAGGGGAGGTTATGTCATTCTCACAGAACATGCTTGTCACAGCAGTAGCAGCACCCAGCTGCATGCAAAGAGGCTAGTCTTCTACGTTAGGTTAGCATGCAAGAACTCTAGGGTCAAACACAACTGCAACACAAAATCTCACAAATCTTTACAGTTTAACATAATGAAAATACTGTAAACACGTATAATCATAGCCGAGTACATTGTCAGCACTTTAAATCTTCACTTCTTTTAATAAACAGCATGACAATAACATTTAGTGTTATCTCCAGTATTATGACCAGAAAAACATTTGCCCATTAAATTGTTTCAAACCCAGCATTCTGGTAAAATAATCTTTTCTCTTTAATTCTTCATAGGCAATTCTCCTGGTCAAATATCAAGCAGGCAATGGGCAATCTGGACCAACTGTTGTGTTACACCTGAACTTGGAAGTGCTACAGATCAGCACATGGATACGTGTGGCACTGATTAATAAAGTACATGCTACAGAATGAGACAACTGGAAAACACAACTAGAAGTAACCAACCATATCACTTGGTTTTTTTCTTCCCTACTAAGGGATAGAAAATGTGAAAGCATTTCAGCAGGTACTGTATGCAACAAATCTTAACTCACAAATTTTCTTATCACTAAAATTACTTTACCTCATTAACTAACAACCTTAGTTTGCTCAGGTACACCTCAACAGAAATATATTGGAACACAGCATTCAAATATTATTATTAGAAGAGGATATATTGACCTCAGGCAGGTCTTACTCCACAAGTTTGACTTGTATGTTTATTGCAGTTTTATTTAGCTTGCCTCCCTTGCCAGCAAGCGGTCACCTGTGCAGAACCAAGCCAGTGGGCGTTCAGAGCTCAACTCCACATCTAAGGTCTGGCCTGTTAATTAAATGGTTAAAATCCAAAGGTCACTCAAGGAAAAGGTCTCTTTGTAAACTTAAGGAGAGCAATTGACAAATTACAGATAAAAGGCTGGTCGGCTTTTACCAGGTAAATTCTGTTGATAGACTTAAGTATTTTTGAAAAGATTTCATCAAAAAAAATAAAAAAAGTGACAACACTGTAGCCCTCATTTGTTGTTAAAACCTGAACAGGCCAAAGGCTTGTGGTTCACCATTTTTCTTGTTAACACATGCAGTAAAGGGAACAAAGAATCTGTATTGAATCAAATCATGGGGAAATGGAAGTCCCTCTATATGGCAGACACGTACAGTCCATGAGCTAGTAATAGTGTGGTAAGTCATTCCCCTCCTTGGGTATACAAGTTCCCATATACCAGCAGTCATTCTAGAGCATGGAATAAAACCTTTACCTTGGCTTCTGATGCAATACCCACATACAGATCTTATAGCAACATCCCCGTTCAAGCAGTTCTATGCATTCATTTTGAACCTCCTCAAGTCCTATCCTTTTTTTTTTTTTTTAGCCATTTGTAGCACTCTCAACATTGTTACACCTGAGCATTGACATGGAAAAACAAAATAAAGCAAAAACAAATAAGCAAACTATATTTTTACAAGTATAAACCCCTTCAAAATAATAAAACAATTTCACTTATCTATATGGGAAGGAAAGGAAGCTTAAGACAAATTCTGTAAAGGATGAAAGAAAGGGGAAAAAAATAAGTCAATGAAGAAAGCAAGGAGAGCAAACAGCAAAAGAAAGGTCAGAGATATTCCGACCTGGAGACAGGGTTGGGAGCACAGGTCAGCAGAGATGAAGAAATGAAGTTACTAAGAATTGGAAAGAGAACAAGGACTGATGCAGAAGGCAACCTCTAGGCCACTACAAAATTAGCCCAAACTTACTGACTCCAAAGGGGCCAAATACTCCACCCTGATCCTGAAAATAACTTAGTCATGCACACAGCTAACTTTCATTAGCAAAACCACTGCTGCAGGGTGAAATATGCCTGCCTGAAGAAAGGACACCTCCTCCAGTTTCGAGTAAGGAAGCACACCAGCTTCCTCCAACCCCTTTCCCTGCAAGAGGGATGTTAGCATTTTGGGATGAACCCTGAAATCCGATCTCACCATCAGTTCTCTCTTCCATCATTACGGACATCTGTGCACCCCACTGGGACAGGTGACATGCTGGCAGCAGAATTTACAAGACCACAGAAAAAATTAGTTTGCTAAAATTGCCATACATGTAGAAAAAAGTTTTCTGCATGTATAGAGGAAGGTCTCTTAGGTTTCACTTATCTTAAAACTTCACACTCATACAGAAAACTTACTTTAGCTTTAACAGATATCTCTGCAGAGCCCCCTTATTTTTGCATTTAGAAGGAGACATTTTTCCAACAATCAAGGATCTGAGGACCCCTAGAACCATGAGCAGAGAAGAGCAATCTACTGAATTAGCACATGAAGCAGCTCATTACAATTCTTATCTGTAAAAGTACTTTCCCTTATTTCACATACAAAGATACTACAATGAAAATTCGAGTGTGACATTCATCTCCCTTAAATTTAACTTTGATAACATGATTCCCAGGCTGCTCACTGCACCAGTTCATGGCTTACATAGGCAAAGGACCTTAACAGAGGGCTGATGTGAGCAGCTGGGCCCTGGGAAGGCCTGGGAGAGAGCAGGACAGCCGGGGGTGGGGGGTGGTTACCAGTGTGTCTTCTGCTATCGTACAGGCCTGTTTGTAAGTCAAATGGTTATTCTCATCACCTTGGTAATGCAGTTGACTCTAGGTATTGCTAACTAGGGCGCTGCTTCAGTGGCACAGTTGACCTAACATCCCCTAAGCAGCCACAGAACCTTGATGTCTCTGCCTACTTGGAGGGCAGCATGGGGTGGGAAGCAGCTGGTTTTAACCTGAATGATTTGTATGATGAGTAGCCCTGCAAGTAATTAATACTGATGCAAATGAGAGGGGTAGACTGTACTTGGAGGGTGGGAGGGCATCCCATGAAATCAGACCACCAGCCCCAAGCAGCTATTCAGAACACTTTGCAACAACCCGACTGTCAGATCTACAGCAGGTTGGGTAATACTCCTTCTCTATCTCTGTCAATTTATTTTGGATCATGAGAAAACAACAACAACAAATAGTGAGAAGTGCCTTCCTCTCTTTCTCAGAACAAGGATACTGCTGGGGACAGGCTGTTGGGACAGTGAATAAGCACAGGGTTTAGAAGACACCATACTGATTTTGAGGGGGACAGGAGGACTGTTCTGTTCTGTAATAACGGAAACACTGACCAAGGCCTTTCACTATTACTTGCTGAATAAGAGGGGAAGAGAAACAACTTTCTTCAGCTGCTGCTTTGGAAAGCATTGCAGGCTAGCTCTGAATTTGCAGTAATGCACAAACCCGGGCTACAGGCTACATGTGCCACTAGGTATTGAACAGAAAACCCACAGAGCATTTGGAGCTATGGAGCTATTCTGAAAGACAAATGTCTTATACACAGAGTGGTGCTCACTGCAGCACACATCAGCAGACTGTCCCTACTCAAAACAAAATGGGTAACATAATAGCAGCAAATGTGAACCTTGATGTTAGTTCATCTCATGATTTATTGGTTTCATGTTAGACTTCATCAAAAGATTGATTTTGATATTTTGCTGTCTTTGAAAGTCAAAACCAATGAAAGAGACCAGCTAGATCTTATCTTGTATCTGTTAGATATCACAGGAAAAATGCCAAAAATGGGTTTCAATTGTGTAACTTTACAAAAGATGCATTTTCTAGGGAACTCCTCCTGAGACACTGTCCCCTCCCTGTCTCTTATGGCACACATTTCACTCAAATGTTAGCTGGCATATAATACTTAAATTATTAGATTTGGAATATAACATCTAGCAGTTCCCTTTATCTTCAAGGTGATTTATCCCTCAACGTGCATATACTCAAGCAAAAACCAAAGAGGTGAAGAACACCTTCTCCTCCATGGTACTTGCCCAATTCCAGAAGTCAGGGACCAGCTGCTAACAGCAGTACCAAGAAGCTAATGTTCAGGAATGGATTTATAGTACATCAGCTATTCTTCATTGCCTGTCCATGTTCCTGCTCCTACCCTAGTTTCACTGAGAGCTGGCCAGTTACTGTGGGATAAAAGCTGGTACATGGACAGTTAGTTAAGACTAGAGGTGTTATTATTTCTCCTTCTGTGACTTGGCTTTAAAAAGGACTTTTCTTACAGATGCTTTGTTTTCTGAAGTGGAAAAGCTAGTTAAAAACAGCTCACCATTAATTCCCTCAACCATCCATACAAATTTCTATTAGAAACACTCGTATGAAAAATACAGGAAACGCTGGCATGTGCCTAATTTAGATCCATCCACAAGTATAGGTGAAGCCTGGCAAGCACATTTAATTATATATTTAAGCGTATCTAACATTTAAATATAAATACATTTAAAGTACTTTCAACTTTAAACCATATATTACAGTTGCAAGTATAGCAGAGACAACTTTAAACAGCCACTGCTACATAGTACAAAGAGATGCTTGTAAGATCTATGACATTTCAGATTAGCATTTAGTGTAAACCCTTAAGAAGAACAACTTCTAATACTTACAGAAACCATACTGGAACTGTTGTAAGTTGGAGAGAAGCCATACGAAAAGAGTTACAGGTTTACAGTCCTGTTAGAGGTTTACAGTTACGGGTGCCATTGCATATTAAAGGTCCTCAAGCACCAAGGCTGCCCATTCCTAGTAAGATAGCTCTTCTAGCCACATAGCACAATGCAATAAATTTAATAAAGCAAGCTGCAGAAAGATGTTTTTGAAATTATATAATTTAAATAAATATTTATGCAGGTTTATAAACAGTGCTCTGGACAGGCAATTTGAAGTATAAAATA